AAACAATGCTCAATTATCTTAAAACAACTAACTTCAGCAAGAACCTGATTCTGTGGCAGCCCCATGAGTTCAACGGCAGAAGTATCCGTGTGGCTCAGGCTATGAGTGGTAAGTCTTTGAGCAATTCTATGTCCCCACCAATCAATGGACCATATTTGCTGCAGCATGGTATTAGTGGAGTCATTTACACCTGTTCAAAGCTGGTGTAAAATGCTACCAAATCAGAATTATAGGGCAGCCTGACTGCTTCTCATGTTGTCACCACTTACACCTATATAGAATGGTGGTCAAATGCGGTATCTCCATTTCAGTAGCATTTTATAGTTATTTTACACTGGTGGTATATCTGGTGACACAGTATACACCAACTAAAGAACTGGGCCTACTGTCTTTGCATATTTAGCATAAATGAATCCTGGAAAGAGATTTAACATCTCAGTTTATCTGAATGGCTTTTTTTAAAAAAATAAAAATAAAAACAGGCAGCTTATAATTTATTTGCCATCTCTTTTTTGTTGCACTGATAAGCCTCAAGACAGTTAAGACCAAAGCAGATTGTGAAGAGATTCAAAAAGTTCTCAACAAACTAAGTGATTGGGCAACAAAATAGCAAATGAAATTTAATGTTGAGAAATGTAAAGTAATGCACAATGGAAAAATAACCCCAACTACACATACAATATGATGGGGACTATTTTAGCTAGAACTACTCAAGGGAGAGATCTTGGCGTCATTGTGGATAAATCTCTGAAAACATCCACTCAGTGTGCAGTGCAGTCCAAAAAGCAAACAGAATGTTAGGAATCATTAAAAAAGGGATAGAGAATAAAACAGAATATTTTATTGCCTCTATATAAAATCATGGTACACCCACATCATGAATACTGCACAGATGTGGTCACCTCATCTCAAAAAAGATATATTGGCATTGGAAAAGGTTCAGCAAAGGGCAACAAAAATGATTAGGGGTTTGAAGTAAGGATGTTAAGTAATGGTTAATTTACTAGTCAATAGGCACTTCTGCATTCCTCCTTTGAAATGTACAAGAGCCCCTACTGGGAACTCCGCATGCACCCCGGGCCAGTGGGAAGTCCCGCTGCCTCTGGGCTGCATGCGGGTTCCAGCTTTGAAATGTACAAAGAGCACAGGCTCTTGTATGTTTCAAAAGAGGAATGCAGAAGTGGACAGCACTTCACCACTGAGCTGGGGATCAGCTGTGCTGGCACTGCCCCTTTGAAAGCCGCCTCGGCATTTCAAAGGGGCAGCACTGCACAGCTGATCCCCGGCTTAGCTGTGCGACACTGTTCCTTTCAAATGCCGAGGCAGTGTTTCAAAGGGACAGTGCTACACTGCTGAGCAGGGGATCAGCTGTGCAGCACTGCCCCTTCGAACACCACCTCAGTGTTTCAAAGCAGCAGTGCCACACAGCTGATCCTGGGCTCAGCTATGTGGCGCTGCCACTTTGAAGTACCACCTCTTTCCCCCTCTTTGCTGCCTCCAGCTGATAGAGGCAGCTGGGGAGGGGGAGGAAATCAACTAGTAGACTAGTCCTTAACATCCCTAGTTTAGAGTGGTCCCATATGAAGAGGGATTAAAAAGACTTGGATTTTTCAGTTTAGAAAAGAGGAGACTAAGGGAGGATATGATAGAGGTCTATAAAATCTTGACTGGTGTGGAAAATATGAATAAGGAAAAGTTATTTACTTGTATCCAGAATATAAGAACTAGGAATCACTAAATGAAATTAATAAGCAGCAGGTTTAAAACAAACAAAAGGAGGTTTTTCTTCACCCAGCACACAGTCAACCTGTGGAACTCCTTGCCAGAGGATGTGGTGAAGGCTAGGACTTTAACAGGGGTCAAAAAAGAGCTAGATAGATTCATGGAGGTTAGGTCCATCAATGGCTATAAGCCAGTATGGGGAGGAATGGTGTCCCTAGTCTCTGTTTGTCTGGAAATGGATGACAGAGGAGGGATCACTTGATGATTACCTGTTATGTTCCCTCCCTCTGGGCAGGGGCGGATATACGGCAGGGCGAACGGGGCGGCCGCCCCGGGCCCCGCACTTCAGAAAGCCCCGCGCATGCGCCGTGGCACCGCTGCGCATGCGCATGGCGTCACTGCGCATGCACCGTGGCAAAGGGGGGGCCCCGTGGAAGTATGCTGCCCGGGGCCCCGCAAAACCGTCATCTGCCCCTGCCTCTGGGAGTGGCATTGGCCACTCTTGGCAGACAGAATACTGGGCTACATGAACCAATATGGCCGTTCTATGTTTTTATGTTCTCTTTTGCCGTAAGGTAAACAAGACGGGCCATGTCTACCACCTTTTCTTACACTAAATAGTTCTTAATCATTCATATAGTTTTACTGAAGTCAATAGACTACTCATATAAATACTTTTCAACAAATGCAGAATTTGGCCTTGTTTGACTGAAGAAGTGATGAAATCAAATCATGGTCTGTTTTAAAAAAATTGTTTATATGTCCTGCTTTTGTTAAAGTGAATGAATTCTGCACTAAGAGCTATATAGACAGGCCCCTGCACCTGAGAAAAGCCATTTCTCCATATGGAGTCCAGCTGATTTATGGGATTCTGCATGAGCCAACATCTTTCCCAGGATACCTTGCAGCACAAAATTGTGCCTACAGAGATCTCAGTGCAGCATCAGAGCCTACCTGAAGATAAGGGAAGGAAAGTACCACTAACTTAATGTTTATTAATGTACTTTTCCCCCTTTGTGCTCCTTCACGTTAGCTAACAAGTTATGTGATGTACCATATTCAGATCCACAAATGGACAGAAACAATAGGTAATGAGGCCCTAGTCTATCCATGACAGGTTACTTTTCAGATGCATGTTCCTTAATTCCTTCAAAAAAGAATTAGACTGAAAAAAATCTGCAATATTTAAATCTAAAATGAAAATTATCTGTTTTTCTATACATCCTAAAATGCTTTTGGCCGAGGAAGAACTTTTGATATAGGCAGGCTATTCTCTAAGGCTATGTCTACATTGTACGCTTATTTTGAAATAACTCATGTTATTTTGAAATAACAGAGTGTGCGTCTAAACAGCGAGCCTGTTATTTTGAAATAATTTGAAATAATTTAAAAATAACAGGCTTCTTACTCCGACTTCTGTAACTCTCATTTTATGAGGAGTAAGGGAAGTCAAAAGAAAGTGTTCTTCCCTCGACTTCCTGCTGTGTAGACAGTGCCAAAAATCGAGTTAAGGTACTTCGACTTCACTTATGCAATTAACGTAGCTGAAGTTGCGTATCTTAACTTGACTTTGGACCCTAACTGCCTACTGCAGGGTTTCTTGCACCTTCCTCTGAAGCAGCTGGTACTGGCTTCTGTCAGAGACAAATTGCACCAACCAGATCACTGGTATTCTATCTTCCTCAAAGGATGGGGGGAGGGAAGGAGTACTTCTGTAGTCAGCCTGCCAAAGAAAGTGTGTTAAAACCGTCTAACCCACCCCTAGCCTTTGCAGGGAGATGGCAGAAAGGCCATTTGCCTCCTGTGTACTGGAGGCCTGTCTGGTTGCAGTGCATAAAATATACATTATGCCTAAACCATGCACTGTTAAGAAAATGCCTACTGTCATCCTAAGCAGAAGCAGGATGGAGCATCAGTTGCGTAAATAAATTGCAAACTCATGTTTCCCCGTAAACTGCTCCACAGTACTGGTTTCTTTTTTTGGTAAACTAGATAAGTACAAAATGCTACAAGCACAGTATAAAGCATCCTGGGTGGTTAGAATGCATGTACTCTTGCTACTGCTCAGCTTTTACTTGCTACAGGATGTTTTTACTTTCCATTTAGCAACACCCCTATGACAGCAACAGCCATCCAGTCATGGGCTGGCTACAGATGTGTATTTTATATAATGGTAAAACAGTTCTCAAAATATATTTGCTTATTATGTGCATATCAATTATTATTTACTGCTGTATCTGTTATTAAATCTGAAAAGCCCATTGGGATGAAAGATGCTATAAAATAGTTTATAACCTGAAGAGTTTGGACAAAGTATAACCAACAGAACAAAGCCTATTTGATTTATTGGAGTAAGCATCCACTCTGAAAAACAGTGGGTTGTTTTCACATGTGGATGCCACTAAAAGGCTTTCAACTTTGAAATTGGGACTCTGTGGACTCATAAATTCAGATTTCATCAGGATTGGTTCAGATCTTTCTGGAGCACAGAGATGGGTGGGTTTTTGGGGTGAGACTTTTAAAACAGTTCTGTGTCTTCTGTGAGAACACTTAAATCAAATCCAGAATATCTGAAGTTGGTCACCCAAAAATCAAAGCACCAAACTGGAACAGTTTTGGCTTGAAGAGCCTATGGTCCTTTATTGTAAGAGCAGGAAATTTACCCTGGTAAGGTAAAAGCAAAACCTCCTTTGCCAGATGCATTTGCCTTACTTGCTGCAGCCCTTCCACCCAGAGGTGGCTGCATTTGGTGCTGCTATACTACATAGTTTAGGTACTTTATCATCTTTTGTCAGGCAAAGTTATCTCTATATAACATTCCCTGCATGGTGGATTCATTTTCTTTTTTAGGTCATGCATCTGATTACAGCTAGGGAAGGAAAGAAAGGGACCGTAGAGCTTCTATTCGAGCACTCTAGTGTTTATCCCCAGTCCCTAACTGAACTGCAGCCCGATCTTCTCTTCCTCACAGCAACACAATAAATCCACCAGCAGTACGGGTAGATGGACCCCTCCTCCTTCACTTTCCTGAGCGCCTCCCCTTTCACTTGCTTGAAACAGGACACACCTCTCCAAAACTGTTGGCTAGTTTCAGCTGCTTATTTGCATAGACTCCTCATCTCCAATCAGCAATTGCTGCCTATTTAATATGCATAAAGCCGGCCACTCAGTAGGCTGGGGGCCGGGCCACCACGTGCTGTTGCTAAGCTTCGGCTTCTAAATTGTTACTGTAGTGGCTGGCCTATCAGGGAGAAGATTCAGATCTGTCAACATTCTGTTTCCAAACCTGAGGGAGCTTGTTTTTCCTGATTGGTTCTACTTTGGAGCTAAAGCCCGCCTCTTTTTAGACATGCCGTCCATGATTGGCTATGTCAATCGCCTGTCGCCTGTGTGTCAAATGTAGGTTGAGAGAGGTGGTTTATATAGGGGACTTGGAAGTCCCCAGCCTGTGAACTCAGTGCAGTTTCTGATGCTTATTGCCTTCCTCAGCTGTTTGAAAGGCAGACAATCAGATACAGAGTTTGATAACTCAAAGAACACACATAAAATGGAGCTGAACTCTCTGTTAATTCTTCTGGAAGCAGCTGAGTATTTGGAAAGAAGAGACAGAGGTATTCAGAAAAAATGACTAGCAGGCACTTATAACATTTAACTCTCTTTGTTGCGTGGGTATTCGGACGCCCTTTTCTCCGAGTCCACATTTCCTTCACCTGCACAAGTGCCCTATGTTTTTGTTAGATGCACTGCAGAGGGGGCAGAACAAATGCAGTTTTCTTGCAATTTTTTTAAACAAACAAGCTATGGCTCGAATCGGTTTGGATTGTATGTATGTTGAAGTTTTCATATATGTTACATTGTTGTGTGTTGCCGTTTGCGATTGTATTGCAGTTTTCCCCTTTCCCTTGTCAAAATGTTTCAAGATTTGCATGATCTAGCCATGTTTTACTGTTTACTTAGATGATCCTCCTATTTTGGCACTTTTCGTTTTGTTGTGTTTCTTTTAAAAATCCGGAATAAAAGCTAAACAAATCAACCAACATTTTGTTTTTTACCCTAGCGTTCCTGCAAAGGAGGAAAAAATGCATGGAAAAATATATTGCCACTAATGCTGACTTTGTCCCTAGAAGCAGAACATGGCTATGCATCAGTGTTACCCTTCGATAGTGACTATTCCAGAAAGAAAACAAAGGCAGGCACCCTGGCCAGAAAATCCCAGAATAACAGGTAAAAGCTGTACCATCGTTTTCTACAGTGAATTAGCAACTTTTCCTATATGTGTAAGTTTATGTGCAGCTCATAGATGTATACAAATAATAACTAATCCTGTCGCTTAGTTCCCAGTAGTCGCCATTTTTCCCCTGTATGGGCTTGGCTCTGTTTTGATCTCTCATATAAACACTGCCACGCGTACACCATCGCCTTAGCACTCACTGCCTTTCTGAACCATCTGCACTCACGCGTCTTCGCCTGGTTTGTTTATGAATGTGCGCTGTTTTCCCATGCATTTTAAAATAATAATCAAAATCCTGACTTCCCTTGCATGACACTAATTCCCTCCCAGGACTTATTTACAATCTCTTTATTGCTGCGAGAGCAAATACAGCCTCCAGTTGCAGTGTAACGCCGGGATCTTGATGAGGGGAGAGTGGGGGGAAAGGGATGAAAACGTGGCTCCAATTATACTGGGACTTTTGTATGCATTTTAAAATGTTTCGAATGAACTTGACCTCTGCGGACGGTCTGAGGCATTTTTGCCCTGGTCAGTGCAGCAGCTGCCTGAGCGAGTCGCTCCGCATGCAGCATTATTACAATGCATAGTTACATTATGATCAGCTGCTTTTTGTTTGTTTGTTTGTTTCTTGCAGCCACTACCTGTGCTGTGATCACCATTAGCTCAAGGTTTCTGCGCAGCCTCCCTGCAGCTTTGTTTGGCTGACCAGGCAGTGCTCAGAGTGCAACTGTCTACGTGCAGAAGGCTGTCTTAAAGAGACAGCGCCTCCTCTTTACGTGGGAATTCCTTCTTTTCTTGCACTTTATGTTCTTGAGGGGGGAGGAGACCAGATGGTTCCCTCCTTCTGCAGACCATTGGTGCTCTCTGCTCTTAACAAAATGACTCCTTAAAAAAATTGTTGTTGAATATGATGAGCCCTGCAGAATAGCCTAAAACAAACAAAACTTGCATATGACATTTTTCAAATGAAAGGAAAGTTGGCAAAATTCTTTGATCTCACTTACTCCAGCGTAAATGCTGCAGAACCCCAGTGTAGTCAGTGAGATTGCTCTGGATTTACACTGGTGAAATGGGAAAGTAGAAATCGGCCCAGTCATGGATATTAAAGTTTGAAGATATGAACTAAGCAAAAAGCAAACAGCTTGCTCAGAAAAATACAAGATCACAATGAGCTGTGTTTGCAGTAACCACTGCAGGGAAATGTGCTTGAACACGATTGAGGGGAATAGAAGGTGTAAATCCTTCCCCTGGCCATCCCTGACTCCAAATAGCGATGAATGCTGATATTTCTGGGAATATACATTCAGGAGTGGGGGGAAGTAATAGTAAAATTGGTTACAAAGATACAATATCAGTTGATTTTTAAATGTGAATTACCAGGAATCACAGAGGTGCCTAGATTTTGAGACACTGTTCATCTATATACATGTTACCTCTGAATTTTTTGATAAAGTAACCATATTGTGCAAAAGCAGTTATTTAAACAGGATTCTAGGGTTTCAATTCTAATTCTAGAGTTTGTGGATTTGCTCCAATCCTTGTTTCTTGTACGGAAGAGAGAGAAATCTGTATTACTTGGGGAACCTTCATTCCATCATTTCCTTTCTTGGGTTTCTTGCTGTCCACAGCAAAACAGTTCTTTGAATTTTTAGCAGAGGATATATAATCTATCAATTTCAGCAGAATTAAAAGATTCCTTGTTAGAGGTTTGACGGGCTTATCAAAGCCAGAGCACACATCATTACTGACGGATTGTCTGATATTTCTCCTAATATTTTTTTCACTCTAATGCTTGCCACGCACACACAAACGCTTTTAAAAAAATGCATAATGATCTTTTTATTGTTTTATTACCAGCTTTATTTGTTACAGACTAAAAAGGGCTCATTCATAGTGTGTGTGGGATAGGGCAATACCTCTGGAGAAGTAGGTTCAGCCGTGGCTAAGGCCACAAATTCAGTCTCCATGTTTAGTTCACCGTGGATATTTGTCCACATCCTAAAGAAAACAGCAATCTCTATAGACAGTCTCTATAACACAGACCGACCCATGGCTGGAAATAGCAGGTTGTTGCGATACGGGGTTGAGGTGCATTGGCAGAGGTGTTTGAGCAGTCCTACATTGTGCTTGCCTACAACATGCCTGTTTTTATCTGTTACTTAAGCTCGTAGGTTCAGATGCAGCTTTATTTCAAATGTATGATCCCAAATTCAAATAGTACCACCTCTCTTATTCATTTTGGGAGCATAGGCGCTGGTGCTAGGGGTGCCTCTTGGCTTGAAGTGGTTTCCATTAGATACAGGGTTTACAGTTTGGTTCAATGACTTGTAGCACTATCCAAATTGTTCCAGCACCCTTGTTTGGGAGCAAATGTCAGGTTATTCGGTTGTCAGGTCACAGCCTCAGAGTGCATAGAATTTGAATGTATTGTTCAATTTGATCATGCAATCAAATCTTTATAAGCAGTTCAAGGGATTAAGAAGGGGCTAGACAACTGGCCAGATTTCGGACGATCCTGAGTGGAAAAGAATAAAATTAACTAGTCAGGCAACCCTTTTTTGGCTGGTTTATTTTAATCACTTTACAGAATCTCAATGCATGGATAGGTGCAGGCATGATTGGGTGTGAATATCTGGAGGGCCATCTCTTTGTGCTCTGGAGTTGTTTTTTTAAAAGGTGGGGGGAGGGCGACTGCATATTGCAAAATTGCAGAATGTTATTTTTTCAGTAACTTGGTTATTTCTAAATCCTATTTCTTCTAGAAGTCTCAGCAGGTTTGAAAATTAACCTTTGCCTATATCATTTGAGCACAAATAAAACACATAAACAATTGTTTTTAAAGCTTGAAAAGCATCTCTTTCATGCAAGGATAACTCCAAAGTGGGTCACAGAATTGTATTGAATTTAAAAAATTAAATTAGCCTCTGGACTGAGAACAAGCATGAGAAATTTCAATTCAAATCTCTCCTCATACTTAAAAAAAAAATAACAGGCAATTGGACACAGGTTCATATAGGGAAAAAAATGTTTCTTCAGCCACAGCTGTGACTATTAACAAAAGTCAGCTCACTGAAAGAGTTCATATTTTGTATATTTTTGTTTGTTGATGTTTTTGTTTAAAATATCACTCGGTGAGTTTTAATTTTATGTTGCTATAGAAAACATTTTCATGTTACTGTGAAGACAGCAGAAAATGTTGCTTGATGACATTTTTGCCCCATCTCTGTATAAGAAATATTAGTTTTTAATAGATTGATGTATACATTTCCTTATGATGTCCAGTCCGTTGCCCTTGAATCAGGCTATATTTATATGTTCCCACTTTATACAAAACAGACTTGAAAGGGTTTTTTAAGAAAAACTTCTTTGTGTCTATGGCATTCTCTCCTAAGGTTCAGAAGTGTTTCCCCCAGATGCTTATTATGAAAATTCCTTAGTAGATTAAACTGGATTTTTGGTTTCCAGTCTGAATGGATGATTCGAAAAAGGTGCAAGTTTGTAATTGATTTTTTCTGGGGGAGGGAAGATAAACCCATGTCAGCGTCTCTTGTAATGGTGATAACTAGACATTATTTGGCCATTGTGTAGTAAATGTCTCCTTTGGATAGAGTAATAATAGTAGTTCCTAAAAGCAATACAGTGGAGCTTGTTAAAATTATTGCTAATACACAATTGGAATAAAATCAGGCTAGAAAAAATTCAGTTAGTAGAGTTGTGCCTTGGAGGTTGCAATGTTAAATTTTCAAATGTCTTTCCATGTAGTACAGTGAGTATAATAAAATGGATGTATTACAGATGTCTGCAGTTTGTTAAGAGGGAATATTTCACAGAAGCAGAAAGTCAAAGAAGTTCAGAAGATTACTTGGTTGCAGAAAGTCATTTGTAAATAGGAATTCACTGTAGCTTGCAGATAATTGGAGCTTTCTTGTTTTGTTTCCTGTTTGTGATGCCGACTTAACAGAGATAAGCCTATGCATTTTTGTGTTTATATAAGGGGGAAAACCGGTAGCCTGAACTGACCCCCTTGTGGACAGTGGCCCACAGCACAGTACAGTTAGACAAGCCTGATTCTCCATTGCCTGGTACTTTGTGCAGTCTCTTATCACTGAACAGTGGGTGTAAAACACTATAATTTATCTTCGCATGAGTGTAAAAGACCACAAAGCAGCAGACGATCAGGCCCAGTGTGTGTTCTGGCCAATGAAAAGATAAGAAGTAAGTAAATATGCAGAATAAAACCTTAGTGCTCGATCCCTGACTATTGGGGCACAGTTAGATTTACTGGCAGAGCAGGAAACTGGAAGTCTGTGAAGTAGCCTGCTTGGCCTATTAATTTAGAAGCCGATGAAAAAGAGGGGAAAATGAAAGCAAAACTTAGATTTATAAATATCCCCACTGCCTTGATTGAAACTAATCAGTATTTATATTTGATATTTTATATCAATGGATATAGTTGTGAACAATGTACTGTGCTCTGGTGAAGGATATATGTGCAAAAGGATGTGGTGGGTCAAAACTGCACATTTCAAATGAAAATATTGTTTAATGTCTCCATTGCTTGTCTGTCACTGCAAACCAGTCTGATTTCTGTCTGACACTGCTCTTTGCAGACTAGAAGTGTGTGAATTGTTCAGCTAAAATTCTTTCAGCCAAAAAATGCAGATTTGGGTCAAATGAAACCTTTTGTGAATTTGTATTGACTTTGTGGTGAATTGTTTGGTTGCATTGGAAAAAAAGGGGGAAAAACCCTTCAGAAATGTCAAAAGCAATCGTTTTGACATTTCTGAAGTGTCTCATTTTGATTTTTTCAGGCGAGGTTCATACACCAGAAATAGTGATGGTGTCCCTCTTATAACCATTAGCCTAGTACATAGGGAAGTCACCTGGGATGACTGTAGAGTCCTACTGTCTCTGGCCAATGGCTATTAAAGTACAGATTGTACCTCTAAAATCTGGGATTCTCTGGTCCGGCAACATCCATGGTCCGGCACGC